TAAACCAGTGTTATATTTTTCAAAGTCCGTTGTGGCAACATTATAATTCTCACCACTGGTTGCTATATTTGTTCCGTCTTGGTTGAGCAGCCATGTCGCACCATTATCATTCGTATGAACACCGGTGTACGATACAAACATGCCTGATCCAATTGCAGACAAGCCTGTTGTCAACACTTTTGATAACAGAGCACCTGGCACAGACAATGACATAACATAATTATCAAAGGGAAGTGTACGCAATACATCGTATTGTGTTATTATACCCGTCAATACATCATCTACACGTATCGATCCACTATTGGATAAACCAATAATGGTTCCGTTCGATTCCGTCTCCTTCACCATACATTCGCACGAATAGTTTGATAACAATGTTGGAAAATTTCTTACTGATGTTGACCTCCCGTCGAGCTGAACATCTGGTGGAAGAATCGCCACCGTTTTGTTTGGTTCAAATCCTTTGTCGATGAATCCTTGCATACCCATATTAAACCAATAGTTGGCCACTTTAGCTGTTTCTGGTTCATCATCAATATCTGATGTTATTCGAGCCAACGTACTATAAATACGAAATAATTTTTTATTTACATTAAAAGCACACCGATGTATATAGACACTGATTGCGTTATCATCCGCCTTATAAATAGGTGTATACGTTAGTCCTCTTACTAAATAATAATCTTCATGTTCGTGTCCACCAAAAATCACATCGATCCCTGGTATATTTTCAACTAAATCAATATCAGTTTTTAAATCTAAATGTGTTAATCCAATTAACACATCATATTCAACTGATTTATTTTCAAGTGTACGTAAAAATTCTCGCACAAATGGTACTAATGATGTTGAATTAATAATTGTCACATATCCACCTGTATTCATATCAATCGTTAAGCCAAATATTAGAATACGAACATTGGAAATTGTCAATAGTTTATAAGGTATCGAAGAAGCATAAGATAGATTATTACCGCTTGTTTTGTTAAAAACATTCGTACTTATCCATGTAAATTTGGACTCGCTCATTCGCTGTAATAGATCGGGTTCTTTCAGATCAAATTCATGATTTCCGAACGTCATATAATCAAGTCCGAGAGTATTCATTGTAGCAATCATTTGTAGTCCTTTCAATGCTGTACCATTGACAATGGCTTGACCCAATGCCGATGGCGATACTAAATCACCCGCCAATAGTGTGTACGTATGACTATTTTCAGATTTTAATAGCTGACGAACTCTTGCCACACGAGCGAGACCACCTTTTTTCCCGTTAACCGTAATAGAGTATCTTTGTTTCAGATGTTATTCCTTTTCTTTAGAAGTAAAATACAAATTGAAAAGAACATTTTTGCAACAGGACTTTCTCTCACATAGTAAGTATGAAGAACCTGGTCGGCAGAAGAAAAAAGATTTGAAGAGCGCTTAGGAGATTTTAAACCAGTTTCCTTCGTTTTATATAGTGTCAGTGTCTTAACAAACCTGTTTGAACTGATTCTGAAATAAGAAAAGAAAAAAAAAGTGCATTATTTTGTATCTCAGCCACAAATCGTTTCATTCGAATGGATAGGCAAACATTAGTTGATAGAGATGAAACTAAACCATCCAAATCTTGCATGAAACGTAATCTTATTTATTTTCTTCTCATTGTTATCATTGTTGGTCTTTCTATCGCTACAACTTTTGGATGGATTCGTAAAACGTCTTCTTCACCATCCCATCGGTATGCAATTGATGGTTCAATTGGTTTTCCTCCTTTGTTACCAAACGATGGAACATATGTTCAATGGACATTTTTGCATATGAACGACGTTTATGAGTTATTACCATTGAATTATCGCCCGATGTTTTCTCAAACCACCGTTTTGTTTGGTTCAAATCCTTTGTCGATGAATCCTTGCATACCCATATTAAACCAATAGTTGGCCACTTTAGCTGTTTCTGGTTCATCATCAATATCTGATGTTATTCGAGCCAACGTACTATAAATACGAAATAATTTTTTATTTACATTAAAAGCACACCGATGTATATAGACACTGATTGCGTTATCATCCGCCTTATAAATAGGTGTATACGTTAGTCCTCTTACTAAATAATAATCTTCATGTTCGTGTCCACCAAAAATCACATCGATCCCTGGTATATTTTCAACTAAATCAATATCAGTTTTTAAATCTAAATGTGTTAATCCAATTAACACATCATATTCAACTGATTTATTTTCAAGTGTACGTAAAAATTCTCGCACAAATGGTACTAATGATGTTGAATTAATAATTGTCACATATCCACCTGTATTCATATCAATCGTTAAGCCAAATATTAGAATACGAACATTGGAAATTGTCAATAGTTTATAAGGTATCGAAGAAGCATAAGATAGATTATTACCGCTTGTTTTGTTAAAAACATTCGTACTTATCCATGTAAATTTGGACTCGCTCATTCGCTGTAATAGATCGGGTTCTTTCAGATCAAATTCATGATTTCCGAACGTCATATAATCAAGTCCGAGAGTATTCATTGTAGCAATCATTTGTAGTCCTTTCAATGCTGTACCATTGACAATGGCTTGACCCAATGCCGATGGCGATACTAAATCACCCGCCAATAGTGTGTACGTATGACTATTTTCAGATTTTAATAGCTGACGAACTCTTGCCACACGAGCGAGACCACCTTTTTTCCCGTTAACCGTAATAGAGTATCTTTGTTTCAGATGTTATTCCTTTTCTTTAGAAGTAAAATACAAATTGAAAAGAACATTTTTGCAACAGGACTTTCTCTCACATAGTAAGTATGAAGAACCTGGTCGGCAGAAGAAAAAAGATTTGAAGAGCGCTTAGGAGATTTTAAACCAGTTTCCTTCGTTTTATATAGTGTCAGTGTCTTAACAAACCTGTTTGAACTGATTCTGAAATAAGAAAAGAAAAAAAAAGTGCATTATTTTGTATCTCAAACCTTCGGGCAGAGTATCTCAACCTTTCTTTGCAAAGTTATAGAATTTACATGAAAAGACCTAAACTAATTTCTTCTTATTTCTGTAGCTTTGAGCTGACAATGAGCATTTAGGTCTTTTCTTATAAATTCTATAACTATGCAAAGAAAGGTCATGTAGAGCTGGGAGATATCTACTTTTAATCAGACATTTACGGGCTACAATTGTGCTCCATTAAGAAAGATTTTGGTTTTTGTTTAGAGTTTCTGAATAACTGGTTTTCCAGAAAATCGGATGTTCGAAGGGCTAAGGGCAATCCGCATGGTCATATTCGGGATCAGCATGGTCGATAACCTAGTATTCACTAGGTTTCATTCGGAAAGCAAACAGTTGGAGAACTTCCCTCGTTAATGAAAAATAAGAAATAGTATTGTTATAAGCTCTGACATCTCTATTTGCTCATGTTAAATCAGTACCTGCTATTCAAAAAGTTCACTCACTAACTGTACTAGATACAGATAAAATAGCACAGAAGAGAGTGAAATAGATGCTTTAATCCGCTCTACTAATAAAGTATATGCTTGATTCAATGATGATTCTTGATTAGAAGAATAATAGCAGCTTCATAATACCGTTTCTTCTCACAAACTATATCTGTGATTTAAAATTTCTTTCATGTTCCTTTTATCGTTCAAAATTTATGTTAAAACAAATCGTGCGACAAAAGCGATGCGACTGAATGTCCGCGACGAATTGACTTAGCGACTATGCTGCATCTCGTGGTAATGTTAGCTCTCGGAACAAAATGCAAGAACCGAGTGACAAGGTCAAATAACCCATTTTTGACTATTTTCATCAGAAATTAAATAATTCATAACTGCGTCAGCATCCATCCATCCAATCTACTTCAGAATGTCAGGAAATACTCTATTTTATCCACTCATTCTCATTCTCTACTTTATCCGACGCATATTGTAAAGCTCAATAAATGTTGAAAAAATCAACAGAAAATACTTCGGTTTCTAGAAAGATTTTCCAGAAACTTTCGGAGCCAAAAGAATATTTTTTATTGGTTTTATATACCGAATGAGAATGAGTGGATAAAATAGAGTATTTCCAGACATTCTGAAGTAGATTGGATGGATGGATGCTGACGCAGTTATGAATTATTTAATTTCTGATGAAAATAGTCAAAAATGGGTTATTTGACCTTGTCACTCAGTTCTTGCATTTTGTTCCGAAAGCCAACATTACCACGAGATGCAGCATAGTCGGTAACCTATGTTTTCATTCGTTTTTGAGAGTCCCAAGTCTAACGGGAGAGGAGTGCTAAGGCTTCATGGAAAATGTTCATAGCTCCCGAGCCATGGATTCACAAGATGTCGCTTAGGCCCAGTTTTGTAGAGAATACTTAGGACTGTATATCTACGAAAAAAATCTATTGGTTTATATGTCAGATTTGACAGAACAATGGCACACTGGGATATCGAGAAAATATTCAAAAGTGCCTATTTATTGTTTGTGTGAGTCAGAAACAGGGTGTATATATGTATCATCGGATCAGATAAATGAAAACTTTTTCTGTTTCTTAT